CCCCTCCCCCGGTAGACATTAAACTAGCCCCTCGGATGTGGGCACTTCTGGCTGGCACATCGGAAATGAATCACTCTGTGGAAAAACTTCTTCACTAACCCCTTTGGAAACTTTGGAACGGTCCTTCTGTTGTTCCAGTGGTAGGATACCGAGTTCCTTTCTGCGCTTGGCAGACATCATTGTTGTGTCTTCGACCAGACGCCATTGATGCCCCATCTTGTAGAAGAGCTCGTACTCACGTAGTCCTGCGGCTTTTGTCAAGCTGTTGGCCAATTGGGCTTCACTGTGAACCCATCTCATCTCTACGGAGGTATTGGCCTGGGACTCCTTGATGGCTAGCAGCTCGATGCTTGTCCTCTTTTCTGCGCCCTTGACCACCATGACCTCTGTGTCCAGTCGGTCATAGACGTTGCGGCTGTCGGTCACGACGCAGCCTCCGGTCATGCGAACCAGCTGGTCTGGATCGTGTAGGTCCCCACTTCCATGGAGAAGCTCGCTCCACTCGTAGCGCCCATAGTACAAGCAGTCCTCTCCATTCACTGCAGCTTGAGCTTCTGCTGCACCGGGTGAGCGGCAAGTCCGCTCTATCTTCTGTGAGTGCCACGCCACCGGGGTGACGTGGCAGACTGCACCCTGAAGCATGTCCTTGGTGGTGATCCCCAGGAAGAGCCCTTGGGTAGAACCTCCATCTATCCGGTTGGCATTGGCGGCATCCACCCACATCACCATGGTAAGCTCATCCGCCTCCTTGAAGGCATGGATCTTCATCTTGTAGGACTGCTTCTGCTTCGCCATGTGGAGGAGACAGTTTGCTTTCACGATGGTCTCCACCGTGCTGCGGGATACCTCGGTTAAGAGTAGGCTCACTTCAGCTGCCAGATAGGGAGCGACTTGTTGAGCATGCCAACTGATTCCTCCTAGCAGAGCACGCAATTGGGATTTCTCCCGCTCAGTAGTGGGATCGCCTCGGAGTTTCTTTCGGCTAGCACAAACGTTGATTTCGTGGAGGTTCTCAAGGTAGCTTGGTTGGGAAAGTTCAAAGCCCTGGGGGGTTTGTTCAACTATGACTCCACACTGTGTGAACTTCCCGGCTTCCCAGTCTCCCCACTTGAACTTGGCTTTGATGGCTTGGAGCTTGCTTTCCCAAAGTTCATCACCCTGCCTACCTCCAAAGAGAAAGTCATCAACATGGCCACTGACAACCCCCCTAAGAACCCCTTTTTCCCGTAGCACCCAGCAACAAGCATCGGACCATAGCCTCGTGAATCCCAACTCCTTAAGGAATTGGTCCACCGACCTGTACCATTCAAGTGGTGCATCCACTAAACCGTAGCATGCCTTCTGGACTTTGGTCACGCTCCCTTCTGGGATGTTGAGTGCCTTGCAGATTTCAGGGCAAGGAATGCAATACAGCTGGTCCGGATATTGTCGGCTTTGTAAGAAAGCTCCAGTCACATCCCCCTTTTGGACCTGCCAGCGTTTCCATGCGGCAACTTGGAGTAGGAGCTGACGGGTCTGCCTGGTCATTACCGGGGAGGTGGTCGAGCGGTGCTCGTAGGCCCCATCTTGGTAGCCTAAAAGCACTGCACGTGCTTTTGGCTTTCTGGACCCGTCTTCTCTCACCTTCCAGGTGAGAATCCACCTCATATTAATAGCTTGGCTCTTGTCCGGTTTCAGATGGTCCGGCAGCACCTCGAACGCCTTGGAGGCAACAAAATTTTTGACCTCAATGGCTTTCGCTCCAGCAAAGGCTTCCCTTTCTTCGGGCGTCATGCGACGCTCCGAGAGTTCCACTGCCCGGCGCTTCATGCTTCCAACCATGTAGGCTCCTAGATCTCTGAAGGCCTTGGCGCTGCCCCTCTGGGTCTCTGGAAACGCGATGGCGATCTCCACGGCTGCTCCTTTCTCCTCCCAGTAGCTGGCCTGTTGCTCTGGCCAATGATGTGCTTGAACGTCATTCCACCAGGCTGTGGGACGATCGGGACTGCTGGGTCCTGCCTGGCTGGCGCGGCCTCGGGATCTGGACCTTTCGCGTCTTGGCGTCTGGTCCCCCATGTCGGTCCTGGCGGGTTCCTCCTCCATTTCCTCGTCCTCTGTAGGCCTTGCTGCTCCACGTTTTGTGCGTAGTCGGTACCGCACTGGCGGCACCTCTTCCTCTTGGTCCTGTGCTCGATTCCACTCCTCCACTGTAGGTTGCTCGTCTGAAATGTCCTCATACCTGTTGCCTCCTATCTCATTGGCGACGGTGTGGTAGGTCCAGGACATACGCTGCTGAGCGGGGTCACTCAAGCTGGCCCTACAAAGTTGTTCTGGCGCACACTTCAGCAGGCTTCTTCCCTTCACTAACCATATAGCGCCCCCGGGCTTGACATGGCCATCCTCTGAATGGCGAGTCTCTGTCGCCAAGACCCGAGCTGGGCCCAGAAATCGTCCATGCTTGCCTCCTGGTTGGCGGCGTCCTTTGTTGGAGTCCTGAGTCCTCCAATAATAGACCAACTCACCGGGGATGTAGTCGTAGCAAGGACGGTGTCGGGAATGTTTGGCTCGCAGCAACCTCTGGCGTGCTGTCCAGTCACTCAAGGCTTTCTCGGCTTCGGCTCGGAGTTTGACTCCCCGTTCAAACTCATCAGTGGGATTCTCAATCAACAAATTGGGATGGACGCTATGCCCATGTGCCACGAAGCGCCCCGTCTCATCAGGCGCTTGTCCCAGCACATGTTGTGCTGGGGAGTATCCTCTCACCAACTCTTTGTGATTGAAAGTGGTTATAGCCTCTGCTAAGGCCTGTTGGGGAGTGACGTCGTGATCGTACTGGCACAGTCTTGTCATCAGTTCCTTGGCCCCTTTCACAGCATTCTCCATTGCTCCTATCTTCCAATGCGCTTCGCCCGGAACTATGTCGAGGTAGATAGAATGTTTGTCGCACCATTCTTCTACTGCTGAGCTACGGAACGCACCTGCTGGATCGAGGCGTAAGCTGCGAGGGTGGCCGAAGTATTGGACCCATCCTTCCTGCAAGTAATGCAGGCAATCTTGGGCGTTGGGTGTTTTCTTTGACCCTTGACTCAAAATGCGAGCAGCCCTGAATCTGGAACCCGAGTCAATGATGATCATGAAGTTGACACTTTCCCCCGTATGGGGATGGACCCAGTTCCCTATGTCAGCTTCCACAGTGTACAGCTTCGGAGGTAAGGGCTCCAGGGCAGCTAAATTCCTAGGAGGGGGACGTTTCTTTTCACTGCAAACAGGGCAGGTGAAGCTTTCCGCTAACTCCAGCGTTCGGGGATCAGCACCTCGTTGCTTCAGGGCCTTGATCATGTGACGTGGATGACTGTGTCCGGTCGCGCAGTGCAGTAAGTAGAGTTGTTTGCGGATGACCTCATCTTCCTTCTTCCTATCTCTGCTGGCTTGTTTGGACACATCCAGGGCGTAGGCTTCCTTAGAATGCTGAGTAGGTAACCTGAAACCTAACTGCTTAAGTTCAGCCCGCTCATCATCCCTAAGGTGGTCCCAACCCCTGCTCACAAAGGCCGTCACGACCCATCTTTCCCCTTCCCAATCGCATGATCCATGCCAGGCCTTCGGGGAAAACACAGCAGCTTGTCCCTGAACATTAACCTCCACTCCAGAAAGAACCTGACCCTGGATTCCCGTTCGCTGACTCTCTTTGGCCTTCCTGCCTGACACCAAACCGCCTTCCTCAATCCACAAACCCCCCCCTTGGTAGTCCCCAAACCCTAAACTGCCGTTGGGATACCTTGGATCGTTGTGCACGTCTCGGTGCACCGGCATCTTGGTCCCGTGGTTCAGGGCAAATGATGTCCAACGGAAATTGCTGGGAAGGTGTTCTTTGAGGATGGCATTAATGAACTGGCAAAGCTCCGGCATTCTCCTAGACCTATTGCAGTTTCCATAATGATTGCCGTACGCGTAGGTACCAAACACATGATAGTCACTGGGAGTACTCTGGTTGCGTCTCGAGTGTCCCATGTTGCTTAAAGGAAACCGCTGCAGCAGGGATTGGAGGTCTTTGATCTTGGGCTTTGGGTTTTCAGTTCGGTGTCTTTTTGCTTCCTGTTCAAGGAGGGAAATTGCTTCTTTGCTGAGGTAGGCCTCGGGGTGTTCAGCTTTGGGATCAAGCTTGGCTTCGGTAGCTTTGGCAAGACACACTCCACACGAATCAGAAATCATCCCACACGAACAACCAAAGCCCTCTCCGAAACCTTCCCCACACCTCGAATTCCCTTGACACTCTCGAACCACTTCATCAAAGTTCCCTTCCTGAGACAGTGCTTCGAAAACTATTCGGGAGAACTCAGGGGTGTACCTACTGGAGGCCTTTGCGTTGGTACCTTCACATCGGGCATGGTCATAAGAAGTGTGACACCTGCATGGTTTGTTCAGCTTTTCAGCGAGTCGAGGGTGGGTTGTCAAGATTCGCCACCCCTTCTGCATGAGCTTCCCGTTAGCCCCTTTCAAGCCCACACTACAACCCTTGGTCACACAACTCAGCATCCCGGACTCAAATCGCAACCTCTGAAGGACAGGGAGCCTCCAAGCCTCACTTCTCTCACTAAGCTCAATGGACACATGAATCCCCTTTTGTTGGCACACTCTGGCGATTTCCACAGTGTTCTCGTATGTTTGAATGGCAAGGGCTCGTTTCGCCTTGAGGTCTCGGATCTGGCTGGGAGTTCTTTGGTTGATATTCTGTAAGGAGCTAAAAGCTTTACCGGGAAGGGCAAACCACACGTGCTTGGGCTTCAGGGTGAGGATCTGTTCAACCACGAGTCGCAGACCCTCAGGCTTGGATATGTCATATCCGTCCAGCAAGGCACATCTATGCGCGGCCTCACTTTGGCGTGTCCTTGCTATGAAAAACTCAGCTAGCACGCTCTCGGATTCACATGACACTTCAAGCAACTCTGGCCTACACTTCCCAATCAAATCCTCAAAAAGACTCGGAATGACCTGATCCATTTTACGTTCCAAGGTTCGACTAGCTACCATGCTCATAGCCCGTCCTCCTCGTAGTTCATGTCCTGGTCCGGTTTCGCATGGATCTTCCGAGGTTTCTCGCCCTTCTCCTCCTTCAGCGTCTTCACCTCGTTGGCCAAAGTCTGCACCGCCATGGCGAGCTGCTCGATGGTCGCCTGGGAGGCTGCCGCCCCTGAAGTCCTTGGGGATCTTCCCTCGGTCGGCGTTGCCATGCTGACCTCTTTCTTCATCGTGCCGGGCTTGGGGTCCTCCGTGCCGGTCGTGGTGTAGCCGCCCATCTTGTTCTTTGTCATCATCTGGCTGAGGTCCACCTTGGCTCTGGCCTTGGGTGCCACCTTCTTCTTCTCCTTTTCCATCTTCATCCAGGTGGCAAACCTTGTCAGGTACTGGGAACACTGGCCCTCGGCTGCTGTAGTCAGAGCCCACGAGCAATACTGGGGATCGTTGTTCGCTACCGTCTGGAAGGACTGGTTCGCGTACTTGCCGAAACCCATTGGTTCCTCTCCCACCGGTTCCACGGTGGCCAGTAGGTGTGACATGGCGCGCTGGGTGAGGATGTGCATCGTCTCGTTCCCGTTGATCTTGATGCCGCACTCCTCCATCACATACTTCTGGAGGTAGCTCTTCTTGGCCCCCGCTCGGTTCAAGTCGGCCACCGCCAACTCCAAGGGTGTTTTCGTCTTCGCCGTAGTCGGTGCGGCGATCTCGCCTTGCTCTTCCAACTCCTTCAAACGCTGGAGGAGCTGGACCTTCTTCCACCCTTTTGGTGGCTCCTCGCCGTAGGCTCGAAGGCTGAGTACCATCTGAGGGCAGGTCATCTTGTCCATGTTGACCTACACAAAAACGGAACCGAGGGGCACTACGTCCTGAGTTTGCAAGATTGCGGCAATCAGCACAAGAATGTCCCCCACGGGCAGGCTGTAGCGCGACTCGTCTGTTCACATGGCATCCACACTCACACGCTGACACTTCCAAAGTTTCCTCTATACCCCGACCCTTCACAGTACCCCTATGGTTCAACCCCTCNNAGGTGTTGTCCCTAGCAGGGCATATAAGATGCCAAGCTCGGCACAGACTGCTGGGCTGGAACTGAATTGCCCAACAGATCTTCTGACAAAGGCAAAAGTTGGTGCCCCGACTTGCCAAAGGCAAGCCTCACGATACGACCAGGGTCTAAGTTTCTGAACACGGCCAGGTCGCTCACGAAGTCGATGATGGCCCCCACTCGCCGTAGGGTCTCGATGCTCATGAGGATGGGGCTCTCCCCGTCTTCCAACGTATGAATCCTCATCTCTCCTGCTGTGCCGTTGGCGGTGATCAACCGTGCCGTGCTCAGGCACCGGTTCTCCGTGGAGTTGCCGAAGGAAAACACGGGGGGGTCTTTGTAGTCCACGCCCCGTAGACCGCTATGGCCATACTTTGCTCTGTTCTGTCGCATCACTGCCTCCACTGCAGCCACACAGACCCAATGGTTTGGGTAGCCCCGCCATCGATGACGGCCATTCCTTGGCGAACAGCCTCGGCTGTTGTCAATCCATCATCCTCGGGCGCGGCGGTCATGGCGTAGTGCTCGTCGTGGTCTGTGGCAAAACCGGCATGGACGTCGGTGTAGCACACGAAGGGTGCCTGTTGCGGCTCCCGTGGGTTCTCTTCGGTAAGATGTGCTTGTCCCTTTTGCTCACTCAAAGGCTTGTGTGGGCAGTTGGCCACACGATGTCCACGCTGGCCGCAACGGAGGCACTCTATGCCTGAGTCATCCCGTGGCTTCGGCGGTGTTGTAGTAGAGGACGAGGATCCACGGCCACTGTTTCCATTGCCTTGGTAGTACTTCCGGTTCTGTTTCGCGGCATGCTGTCGTTGTCGTGCTTCTCGTAAGGTCCGCCTTGCATTGACCATCGCCGACATGGCCTCCTGGGCAGCCTCCTCAGCATCCACTACCAAGGCATGTCCTTCATCAGACAGGCCCTCCGCACCGTAGTCGTGGTTCCCGGTCTCGTAGATCTCGGTGTCATCCTCGTCATTCTCCAGGTACTCTCCGATGTAGCTCTGGTATCGCCGTTGGCTGTCCCGCTTTTTCACATCAGATTCCGAAAACTGATTCCGGAGTTCCTGTGCCACTCGCTGAGGCTCGAAGTTCCCGCCCAACGCCGTCATGACGATGTTGCGCTCGCCGGCATCCAAGTTCGCATCCGCGAGGAGGTACCACCCTTGGATAAACTGGGGAAGCAGCTCCGTTGAGGCTGAGCTGCTGGTTGTAGATGCGCGGGAGCTCTCGTAGCCACTGCTCCAGTCGTGGTTGTCCCACGACCGAGGCCACTCGTAGCCCCATGACCATCCTTCCCAGGTGTTCCGGGCTGTCAATCCTCCATAGGGTCGCCAGTAGCGCCACTGGTCCTCTTCGTCGGCATTGGTAGCGTCACGGGTGGAAGCCTCGGTGTCGCCTCCATCTGGTGCATCTGCTTCTGGTGCCTCACCATCCTCCTGCGTCGCGGGAGTCCACTGCCTTGGCCATCCCCAGCTGCTGTAGTCACTGCTAGCTCGACGTTGGTGATCAGGTCTTGCAGGTGGTTGTCGGTCTTGTTCGTAGTGGGGTTGCACTCGCTTCAAGGCTTGGCTAGCACGCATGTAGGCCTCAGTCTTACGGGTGATGTAGTCATTCATGCTCTCCTGAGGTTTCCTCCTTGTTCCCTTGAAGTAGCTAGCCAAAAGGTCGGTGACCTCGTTCACCTTAGGCTTCCCAAGAGCCTTCCGCAGGTGTTCCATCAGCGTGGCAACGCCACCTCGATAGGCCACCCATCCTGCTGCTTGTCCTGATACTAGTCGTCGGGCTGCTCCAGACAGTTCTTGCACCAGCTTTGGCCCCGCAGTGTATCT